TAATTTTAAAGCACAGCCACCACAAAATCAGACTTTAGCACCTCTTTTAACTTTGAGATCGTTCTGAGATTAAATACAGATTTTAAATCATAACAAGAAATAGTTTAATAGCTATGATACTGTTTTTGAGATCAAATCATTTGCATGGTTATGACAGGAAACACTGGCATCTAACAATGCCTTGGGGGGGGGGAAGTTAACCTTAAAAAATAAAGCATATGCATAATAGGAAATAAAACAGTTATGGAATAAGCATGTGTCCTGAACTCCTCAATGCAGTTTATGAAAAAAATTAATTAAACCTGTATGTGGATGTGTGTGTGAAAAAAAAAAAAATTCAGATCGTTAACATTTTCATAAGTAACATTTTCTCTCAGTAACTGATTACAATTACATTTATTTTGTAATTATTTAGTTGCATGTGACCAGTTACTTCCCAACACTGCTGGTTATAAAATGCATGCATTTAATGAATGCTGAAGCTGTTCAGTACCTATACAGACAGGACAGCATTCTCCTTCAGGAACGTAGAAGTTCTGGCAGTCCATCTCTGTGCATTCGGCTTTAGAGCAGAAGGACACTCCACCTCGACACTGACACAGCCAGCAGGGGTCCATACGGTACACCTCGCCCTCCCTAAACTCCTTCCCGTTATGAACACACCTGGGAGAAACTACACAACAAAACAGCATTTCTTAATATACGTCTATTTCACTATAGAAATAATTTCCGTATTTTTGATAGTTTAATATATACACACTAGATTCTTAGATTTTATTCGACTATTCGATTTTTTAAAAATCCTCGACTTCATTTTGCTCGCGTCGGCTAACCGGCAAAATACCGGAAGTGGCAAATTTCACGCTTTTGGGAGTGAACGCAAAGTTTCTCTGGGGAAACGCAAAAGTGTTGCAAGGGAACGTAAAGTTTCATGGGGGAATGTGAAAGGTTTGCAGGTGAATGCAATGTTTTTATTTTTAAAAACGCAAACATTTTGGGAACAAATTCAAAGTTAGCTGGGAGAACCCATAATTTTGCGAGCAAACGCAAAGTTACCCAGGATAATGGAAAAGTTTTGCAAGTTTACGTAAAGTTATTCAAGAACACAAACGTTTTGGGAAAGAAAACAAAGTTAATGCAAAAGTCTTGCAAGTGAGCGCAAAGTTTCTCTAGAAAATTAGAACTTTTTCTGAGCAAATGCAAAGCTACTCAGGGAAACGCAAACGTTTTGCAGGTGAACACAAAGTTACTTTGGGCAATGTAGAAGTATTGCGAGCGAACAGAGCGTAGAGCGGAACGCAAAAGTATTGTGAGTGAATGTAAAGTTTTGCAAACAAATGCAAAGAAAATGCAAAAGTATTGCAAGTAAAAGTAAAGTTTTTGGGAACAAACGTAAAGGGAAAAGCAAACGTTTTGCGAACAAAACACATGGAAACTTTTTCGGAGGAATACAAAAGTTTCGCAAGGGAATGCAAAGTGATTTTAACAGACGTAAAGTTGAACAGAAAACGTAAAGTTTTGCAAACGAATGTAAAGGGGTATGCAAAAAAATCTGAGCGAACAAAACTTTTGTAAACTAACATAAAGGGGATGCAAAACTTTTGCGAACAAACAAACTTTGGTGGATATGCAAGTTTTGCGAACAAATGTCAACTTTTTGGGGAAACAAAATTTTGCGAATGAATGTAAACATAAAGGGGAATACAAAAGTTTTGCAAACAAACAAAACTTTTCTTGGGGGAAACGCAAAAGTTTTACAAGGGAACGCATGAGCATTGAAATAAAATTTTTCCTCCATCTCACTTTTTTTTCCCATCACCATGTCTGTAAAATCACATCACTGTTGATGGCTGCAGCTTGTTAGCATGAAAATGTGCTTTAAGCATTGATTCATTTAAAATGAACTTGGAATTAAGTTGATTATAAACACACTTCTGCATTCAAATACATTGTAAAAAATAAAAAGTACTGGCAGCTCATTACACATGATATTATCCATTAATTTTACGGACATTTCTGTTAACTCTAAAACACAATGCAATGAAGTGTACAATTCAGTAAAACACCTTGTAAAAAATAAATACGGAACATTTTTTATGGTTTTTTATATTTAGTTTTACTAACAGCTAGCGCCAGTGCAAACCGTCTTTTGGTGTTAAAAGATGCGCAGTGATGAATTAGCGCTGAAAAGGCGTGGACATAGGGTTGTGACGGTGAGGAAATTTTCCCACCAGTTAATCGATGTGTGACAACACCGGTAATACCGGTATCACCGCGGGGCGGGGGCATTCCCTCTTTTCCTTCAAGCAATTCAAGCAATTCGGCGCCAATTGCTTGAATGCAACGGTAAAGTTTCATGGGGGAATGTGAAAGGTTTGCAGGTGAATGCAATGTTTTTATTTTTAAAAACGCAAACATTTTGGGAACAAATTCAAAGTTAGCTGGGAGAACCCATAATTTTGCGAGCAAACGCAAAGTTACCCAGGATAATGGAAAAGTTTTGCAAGTTTACGTAAAGTTATTCAAGAACACAAACGTTTTGGGAAAGAAAACAAAGTTAATGCAAAAGTCTTGCAAGTGAGCGCAAAGTTTCTCTAGAAAATTAGAACTTTTTCTGAGCAAATGCAAAACTACTCAGGGAAACGCAAACGTTTTGCAGGTGAACACAAAGTTACTTTGGGCAATGTAGAAGTATTGCGAGCGAACAGAGCGTAGAGGGGAATGCAAAAGTATTGTGAGTGAATGTAAAGTTTTGCAAACAAATGCAAAGAAAATGCAAAAGTATTGCAAGTAAAAGTAAAGTTTTTGCGAACAAACAAACTTTGGTGGATATGCAAGTTTTGCGAACAAATGTCAACTTTTTGGGGAAACAAAATTTTGCGAATGAATGTAAACTTTTTTAGGGGAATGCAAAGTTTATGAACAAACATAAAGGGGAATACAAAAGTTTTGCAAACAAACAAAACTTTTCTTGGGGGAAACGCAAAAGTTTTACAAGGGAACGCATGAGCATTGAAATAAAATTTTTCCTCCATCTCACTTTTTTTTCCCATCACCATGTCTGTAAAATCACATCACTGTTGATGGCTGCAGCTTGTCATCATTTTGTCTGTCTCACCTCACTCTTCTTGTCAGTCAGCTCGACTCACTCTCCTCACTGGATAAATGAAATCTGATATGTGATGTGACTGTCGTTCGGCACGCTGCATTGAGCAGCCGCGTTCAGTTTTTAATTGTAGTGTCTGTTCTTTTACTGAACTAAATTATTTCTATTACTATAAAAAATCAAAACGACGGTGGGGGTCTGTGCCGTGGTGGGCAAGTGACGTAACCGGTGTTGCGGCTGAACAACAGTATCACCGTCAGC